GAATGTTTAAGTTGTTTGGAATTAAAAATAAAAATTAGCTGTTTCTTATTAGCTATAATTAATAGTTATGGACGTTAACAGAATATAATTCATGGTCTATGACTGCAAAAGGATATTAAAAAGAGAACACTGGAAAGAGAGAGGGAAAGAGGAGGGAGGGAGGACTAGACGGTGAGAACAAGAAAGAGATGGAGGGAAGAGGTAAAAGGCATGAATGGTACAAACGGAAGCTCGAATTGACTTTTTTCTTTTCCAGTTTCGGACCAGACGCACACACACACACACACATCACCTGGATTCCGGTGTTTTGTTTAAAAACTAAAATATGAAATGAAGTAAAAAAGATAGGAACAAATCTAGAGCAAAATATATAGTTTGGTAGAGAGAGAGAGAGAGAGAAAGAGAGAGAGAAAGAGAGAGAGAGAGAGAGAAAGAAAGGACATATTGATATATTCATCTGGAACGATCACTAAGAAGCATTCACGAGAAGCTTTGGATTATAATGACCGATGAGACAAACTTGAGCTTTCAAAGCAACAAAAAAACGTTCGTTCGAAGCAAAGTCATTCATTCCAATTGACAGAAATGAATGAATTCTTCCAAAAAAATGCTGTTATGTCTGTTTCAAAATACTTTTCTAATCGTTGAATTAAAAAAAATAGTTTTCTCATTCTTTTTTTCTTGTTGAAAGAAATTCAATGTAAGCAACTGCATTATGCGATCGATAGAAATGGAGTGGTTGAATGTGTTACGTGAGATTCACGTGAACGATATGATTATGAAGCGTTTGGTTGGTGTGAAAAAAGCTATAAATATATAATTTAATTATATAAATGAATGAAGCTTGTATGTTTTCTAGATAAAAAAGCAATTGAACTCAATAGAATAGAAGAGAGAGGAAGAGAATGTGATAGAGAGAGAGTGAGAGTGAGGGTGGGAAAACGAGAGAGGCAAGGCTAATTAGCTATCGTCAGCTGTATATGTAATGTTGTGAGAAGAACAAAATGATTCTCAAACATTTAAGGGAGGTAGAAGGCCAAATATGTAAATGTTATGAGCGAGCAGTTGCAGAATAAAATATTCCGAATATTTATATTGATTGATGAAAAATAAGAGAATGAACAAGCTCTCAGGTAGGAGCTGATGAATTTCAATTGTGCGGACGTGCAAAAGTCAGTAAGCGAGCGATTAAAAGAATTCAAACGATCTTTAATAACGATATCAAGATGAGATAATTGAAGTAGGATGAGAGAGTGATGGCAAATAAGATGAGAGGAGGTAGCCAGTAAAGCTCAGCTTCATAAGGCACAATTGAAGAAGCAGAGACAAAACGAACTTTTTCTTTTTTCCTTCTCTCTTAAAACGGCAGATAAAAGAAGCAAATTTGCAGAATTGCGTGCTTAAAATCGAAGAAACAATGGGTATCCGGTGTCAGAATGAGGCTTTTTAATGATTGGCGACAGGACAAGTTAGCTCATCCGCCTTTTTGTCCTTTTTGCTTCTTACACACAACAAAGCGTAAAGAAATGTAACTATATGTGTGTGTGTGTGTATGTGTGTGTGTGTGGAGATGAAGTCAAGAAAATAGGAGAAAAAAGAAATAAAAGTTGAAACACGAGGCGCGAATAAACACAAGACCAGCGATGATTGTAGGTGAGCTTTTGCCCTCGTTGAAGTAGGGCCTACCATATCATATTTATATGCAATAGTTATAATTTAAAAGCATTTGCTTCGTAATGAAAACAAAAAATAATAATATTGTTATAAGTGACAGAATGAATTAAATGGAAACGACAGAAGGCCATACAGTTGATGCTGAATGAAGGAGGGCCTAAACGGCATCCAATTTCATACTAGTTTCGCTAGAAAACGAAGACGACAAGAGAGAAAAATGAAGAAGGAGATGAAGAAGAAGAAAAAGAAGAAGAAGAAGACATTATGATCTCAAGTATTGAGAAGAAAAATAAATTTTAACCGTATTGAAAGAGAGACAAATGAGAGAAAAATCTATAAGAAGGAGAACTGGGCACGGTCAAATTCTGAAGATTTGTGTATGTAGGTGTGAGCGATTCGTAGCTTTCAAACAAAGTTTCACGAATGAATGAGCACAAGGGTTTTGAAGATGATGAGCAGTGTGTGTATACATCTGGATAAAAATAAAGAGAGAGAAAGAAAGAGGAAGCGAAAGAAAGTGGGAAGTCAACGTTCTTCTTAAGAGTATTAAGGCAAAAAACCTTTGTATATATATATATATAAGAGAGAACGAAAACTATGATAATTGCCATCTACAATTCTTCGTCTTCTTCTTTCTTTTTTGCTACTTTTGTTTTCGAATGAATCTATCGTCTTGAGACTATTTTCAAATCAAAATATTCGAATATTGCTCAAAAGACGTATATTAGCTTATGAAGTAGTTAATTCAACACGATGGTCAGCAAATAGCAAAGCAGAAAAAACACGACTGCTCAACGCGCTGTCACTCTGTGAAATGACGAGGAAAACAACGTGAACTCTCACGTGCATAAGAATATTTTGCATAGGTTGACTGTAAAGTTGATATGTCGGGTTGTAAAAAATGACGAATGATGTTCAACTCGCAAGGATATGAATGCAAGTTCAACAACTTACTGTGCAATAAATGAATGGGTAATAACAAGCTTTTCAAATGAGAAAATGACCGAATATGGGCATTTTACAGAGATAAATAAGCATTGAAATGACGATGAGGCAGATACACCAAATGGGCAAAAGCTCATCGATTCACATGCTGGCTGTCTGTTCTCTCCGGTCAAAGCACAATCTATATTAGTTATCGGCAATGAATCGAGGCTCTTTCTTCATCCCCTTTGGGATTGATGAAGAGAAACGTTGAGAAGAGACGATGTGACGATAAAGGCCCAGGAAGATGGATAGCAACATAAAGAAAATGCCTGTTGAACTTTTTGAACTAAAAGAAGAAAAGCAGTCATCTATAAAAAGGTTATGCGAATTTTGTAAGTCGTAGACACCGAAGAATAATTCAGGAAGAGAGATAAAGAGACACAGAGAGTAGAGAAAGAGAGGGGTAGAGAGAGTGTTTTGCAGAAGTGAAACCGAAGGTTTGTTTTAAGAAATCTCAGCACAGATGAATCAAAACAGATAGGAAGAAGAATTAACTTTTCATTTGAATGCAAACCAAGGCTATTGGGTGATAATGCTTTAGGCGGTAAATGACTGTTAGAGACTCTAAGACAATCTCATGCGAACGTTCGTAGTACTGGCTCGAACGGTTCAATCAGAGTATTCATATCAAAAGATTGACGAAGGTAGATTTTTGGCTTTTATGAAATAGTATGTAAGATTGCTTCTGATAGAACATTTCTGAAAAGTAATCTTGAAAGCAGAATGGTTTGACGATTCGCTCTTCAGGAGAAGTGGTCAGCAAAAATGTTCTTTTTTTTTTCAATTTATATCCTTGAAAAGGATTTAATTAATAGCTTCTTCTTCTTGAGATTATGAAGAACATAAGTATGGCTAAAGAAACGAAGAAAGATGTCAAACATAACAAACATTGCAATGTAAGGTTTTCTGAAATATTAAAAAGATATAATAAGAAATAAGGAAATGCAGAGAAATGAAACATCTCAAATGGAGACAGAATGCGTAAATTGCAAGTGGCCAAATCATCATTTACATCTAAAACATCCAACTGATTACATAATAATAAAGGAAAAAGAAAAAAGATAAAGCGAGAGTTTGAATGAGAGAAACGAATAGAGGGTGGGCAAGTGAAACTTTCGAAAGGGATTCTTTGAAATATTTTTTTTTGATGATTTTGCACATAAATGGAAAACATAAGGAAGAAGCAGAAAATCGAACGATAATAGAGCAATAAGCTTTGTTTTGTAAAACTTTTCTTCAGAAGTTACAGCAAATAATTGTCGAAATCTATAAATAGAAGGTTTTCAACCACACAGAGGTGAACAGAGCACGAAAAATATTGTTTTTGGATGATTTTTTTTTGTTTTTTTTTGTTGTAAACATCCCTTGGAAACCCAACTCGTATCTTGATTTCAAAAATATTTGAATCAAAGATTATTTGAATCTGTATGTCATTAAAGTTGAACGAATAACAATTATTGGGTAATGTACTATAATCACCTCTAATATGTATGCTACTTATTATTTTTATTGGTAAAGCATTTAATTCAGCGGCTCCATTCGATTAGCATATCGTTTCCAAAACTCCCGCTCATCTGGAACTCTCGTATAGCAGATGAATTGATATAGTATAAGATGCTCATGGTTTGTTTTGTTTTTCGAATATTTAATAATCTTTTTGCTACTGTGTATGTTGAATCTGTCTAATTCGGTTAATTTAGCATACTGGCTCAATAATACTAAACTACTTGAGAAATTACATAACTTATGCATGAACTTTCATTCGAATTTGTTCGAATTACCTTTCTTCTCGTTCACAGCTTTAAATCTTTAGATAACTAGATTTCCTTTTTAAGCTATCAATCTTAGTTTGTTGAAATCTTTTTACTCATCATCGTTATTCTTTAAAAATTGCTGTTTAACTACTTCACACTGAACACAGATTGAACCAATCCAACAACCATCTCAACCATAAGCATGGCTCAATATGATTCAGCAATGGTAATATACATTGGACCAAAACCAATTGATACGGATATCCACGGGGTACGCAAAGATCTTATAGATGGTTTCTTCGATTTTGATGAAAACGAGGAGGAAACTAGTTCAATTAACTTAACTCCTTCATCATCTGTGCATACATTCATCTTACTATCAACCATTATATTCAATATCATTTATATAATAAGAAATAAGCAGCGGAAAGATTACACAAAGGTCTGTTCAATTTTATATAATATGATGTTTCACTATAATTGTATGTTTCATTTTAGAGCTTTTTTTTCAAAATGATTCTGTCTTGCTCAGTATGTATCATAATGCGATCGACTTCTCTCGTTTTCACAAAAACCATACCGAATATGATTAAATCGGCTGATATTATACCTTATGCTCTAGGACAAAGCTCGGTATATATTAACCATATGTTCAGTACATATCTCTTGCTTATGGTTTTCGTGATATCTTTGAATAGGTATACCCTCCTCAGTAACATCCGATGGGATGAATGGATGTTTTCTCAGTACGTTTTCAACATAAGCATTATCACTGTGAACCATCATACTATCTTGTCTCTTCCCAATCCACATCTGCCTACGTCAATGGATGAAATAATTAATTTTCTTTTCAGGGAACGCTTTTATATCCACATATTACTAACATTAAGTATATCTGCTATAGTTTCTATCTTAACAGTTTATAATTTTCAAATTCGAAGACAGTATGTACCCTATTTTGGATATTTTGACATTGTACACGGATCAAGAAACTATGACGTGAGTGGCAGAACAACGTGAAGACCGTATGAATTTTATTTCGTCAGAACTTTCAACGTATACAACTGGCATTACCTCTTTTTTCAATTTTGTTTTATCCTCTCATCTACTTCAAAGTACGCACACAACGATTATTAGTCAGTACGTTCAAATCGAAAACAATGAACAACACTGAGAGGAATATTATAACTCAAGCCATTTTCTTGACCGTAGCTCACTTGGTAATTATCTGTTACGAGAGGAACGATAACATAATCTATTTTAGTCTCTTGGTGTATTTATGGAAGTCATCTTACATATCAATATACCTCCGAAATTAACAGTGCAATACATAAGTTGGTGGAACGCAATCTGCTATTTACCTGATATGGTTATACCATCATTTCTACTACTCAATAATAGTCGAATTTTTATTTGGCACAGGAACACAAGCAAAGACAGGAAAAGAACGAATCAGAAAAAACTTCACAACATTCCCATTCCAACATCAGTGACATGATCACATCCATTCAAGATTAGCAAAGCTCACACCACTACAAAGAATACATGAGAACTATGAACAAAACTTTTAAGCGAAACATAGAACTTTGTCTGATTTATAATGAATAAAACATAATTATCCACTCAAACTATACACTTCGGGTCACAAACACAACTTCACTTGTTTCTTATTGTTTCTGACATGGCCCCACCGGCAAACACAGTCGTACACCGGAAATAACTTTCCTAATGTGATCAGGTGGCCGAGTGGTTAAGGCGATGGACTGCTAATCCATTGGGGTTTCC